GGAGGTAAGAAAGCCTCCCGCCTTTTCTTTATTTATTTATTTATTTTTTAGGTCGTGTGTGTGTGTGAGTGTGTGTGTGTTTGTGTGTGTGTGTGTGGTCATATTCGTTATACACTCAAAACAATAATGATTGTATCAGACTGTTTCATCGGACTTTCACCGACGCATAATGAGGTTGAGCCTCGACAGTCTGCGTAGAATTCATTTTATTGTTGGATAACAATTAACATCACCTAGAATTAGTGACATCCCTGAGAAAAGTGGTTGACTTTACTCACTGCAACCTTGCAATCCTAGCAGACTGTCGGTATATATAAACTCAGACGAAACAGTTTGTCACAACCCCTCGTTTGTTGTCCTCTTCCCCCTCTCTGCCTATATTTTACTTGGCAACTTTGTTTTATGTATGTTTTCTTCTCCCTCTTTGCCTACGTTTTTCTGAGCAACTTTTTTTTTTTTTTTTAAAGACTAATTCTTTAAGCCCAACCAATTCACTTACCTGTTAAATTTTGATAGGACGGCCTTCCTGTTTTTTTTTTTATATGTACATATTTTATATATATTAGTCAAATAAATAATATATATATATATATATTATATAAACAAATGAACATGGTGATCAGGGTGAATTTTATTTTTGCTCGGCATTTTATATACAAAACCAAAGTGACTTCCCCGAAATGTACTTCGGACAAACGAGAGAGATAAAAAAAAAACCCACAATAATTTTGTGGGTCAGGATAGTTTCTGGTGACCGTTGAGAAGAGAAGGTTGTCGACATATAAAATGGCAAACATTTCTGGCCACAAACACACGTACTCATGTAGACGAATTGTTTTCTTTTTTTTTTCGTATTTTTTTGTCAAAACAAGATGGTCACAAACTTACTTCCAGATGCGGGTACGATAACAGTAACTTCCGCCTCATAAATTTTTTTGTCTGCCGATGCTAATAAATAGGAAGGAAAACAATGCATACATAAGTAGTCGAGGAAAATCCAACAACACAGTTTTTTACAATCCCTCGTTTGTTGTCCTCTCCTCACTCTCTGCCTACAGTTTACCGGGTACCTCTGTTTGACGATATATATATATATATATATATTATATATGTGTGTATATATATGTATATATATACATATATATACATATGTATGTATATATATATGTACATATATATATATATATATATATATATATATCGTCACAAACAAAACTGCCCGGTAAACCG